TACAATCGGGGGCCATAATTCAGGAAGTTACAGTCCGATATGCGCGAATATCGAAAAGAACTGAGCTCTTTGGGTTATAAACTTACATTTCAAGTTTCAACAAAATCGCATAAAAATTGTGACCTCTATAGGGTCGACATTTTGTCAGTCAGTTTTGGTCCGATTTTCACGAAATTCGGACCCAGCCATCCTTAGGGTGTAACGGTGATATAGTAATTGTGACCTCTATAGTGTTCACAAGCTAAAAACGTGATTTTTCGTACAATCAAGAGCCATAATCTATGAAGTTACAGTCCGATACATGCCAACATCGAAAGGAACCGAGATCTTAGGGTAATAAACCTATATTTCAAGTTTCGTTGAAATCGGATAAATATTGTGACCTCTAGAGTTTTCACAAACAATTGTGGACGGACGGACATCCGGACGGACGGACACGGGCGACGACAATATACGTCCACATGAAAATGTGGGCGTATAAAAATTGTCTTATTTCTCGATGTTTTAGTAGTAGTGTTCAGACGATTCCAGGCTTTGATGGTAGAGGGGAAGGAGGATCTTTGGAATGTTGTGGTTCTAGCAAGTGGTGGTTTTAGGTTTTTCGTAGTGTGCATGTAGTATTAGGAGGTTTATAATTGTTTAAGATTTCAGATAAGTACGTAGGACATTGGTTACTGGAGACTTTTGGCAAGTGGAATTTTTCCCATCCGTATGAAGTATCCGTATCATCACGTTATACGTTGTGTCAATGTAGTTTTAGGGTTTTGGCAGAATTTCGCGCCTCATACGTATAGCTAGCTGAGCTGAGCTTAGCTCTATTACAGCATGATGGCAGTAATTGACTAGCCTACAAATTCCTGAAAGGAGTAAAGTCGCTCGACAGTCGCTGAGCTATTTAAAATTTAAGAAACATTCAGTGTCGAATCTTATTTAAAAATCTTCCGACTTCGACTCGACAGCAATTTTTGGTTTTACTAATGTATCATTTCGGAAAGTTTATACCCCTTTTACATATTTGCAAGGTCCCATCTCCTTAAATTTAGCACGGATATCAACCAGGATGCAGACTGTCAGTCAGGAAAAATATTACCATCTAAGAAACATTAGTAAAATAAGGTCAACCCTCACTATTGATCCCATTAAAACTGTCGTAAACTCCCTAGTAACATCAAGATTAGATAATTGCAACTCCCTTTTAGCAGGAATCCCAGATGTTTTAATTAATAAACTACAAATGGTACAAAATAGTGCTGCAAGGCTTATCACCAGATCAAAGTTTAGAGAGCACATAACCCCTATTTTAATTGAATTACACTGGCAACCTATTTATTTTAGAATTCAATATAAAATCCTTCTTTTGGTTTTTAAATGACTTCATGGTCTTGCACCTCTTTACTTACGAGATTTACTTGAATTATATACACCGTCCCGAACGCTTCGTTCATCCTCTGATACATTAATTTTATGTTCTAAACGATCAAGACTCAAAACAATTGGTACGGGCGCCAATTGCATGGAACAAGCTTCCATTTTCTATCAGAAACGCTGTGTCTCTTTCTGTTTTTAAAAATTCTGTCAAAACTTTTTTATTTAAAGAAGCCTTTAGCTTATAACGATTTTAATTATTTGTTAATCTTTTAGTAATCTTTTATTTTACTGACTTCTATTATTTTGTTTCTGTGATACTGTTTTGTGATAATTTATAATGTGTGATAATTTATAATGTTTTGTAAAGCGCATTTGAGCACCTAGTGAATTGTGCGCTATAAAAATGTTCATAATAATAATAATAATAATCAAAAGTAACGATTAAATTCCAGTCTTTGCCATGGTTAAAATCACATCAAATATACACCTTGTTCTAGGATACACATAGATTCATATACACGCTATGATATAACATTCCAGCGTCTGAAAGTAGCAAAAAGGACGGTAAAAAGACAACAATGTTATACGTACCTTTTCCGTATGAAAGCTATTCGATACGTGCTGCCGTATCCGTGTGTCGTATCACGTATGAGAAATACACAAGCATTGATGACGTCACACGCAAAATCAATACGGATACGCGATACGGGCCAGGAATTCAAGCTTGCCAAAAGTCTCTATTGTGAATTTCGTATAACGTTGTAAGTTTCCTTTGATGTCTCCTTTCCATCAAGCTTTCCCATCCTGTTTCGGGATATAGCGATTGTTTGCTTGCATATTTCGTTAAACCGGTATCGATGCGGGCAACTTCTAATTGGAGTTTTCAGTCGGAGTCATTACACCCACCCCAAACTTGGCAAGAGTATTCCAGGTTAGGTCTTATATATGTTTTATAGATTATGTTCAGTGACTTTTTATTTAATGAATATTTCAGTTTTCGTAAAATACCAAGTTGTTTGGATACCGAAGAACATAAGTATCAGTGTGTTTTGACCACCTGAAGTCACTTGATAGTGTAACACCGAGGTGTTTATGTGTGGGGACTATTTCTAATTCTATGTCACCGAGTTTTAAGTTTGGTAGATGTGAATGGGGATTAAATGAAAATAACAGGACTTTTGTTTTAATAGGGTTAAAATTAATTAACCATTTTTGCGACCAAATATTTATGGCATTTAAATCATGGTTTAGAGATAATTCTATATCATTAACCGTTTTTCCATTGCTGCATAAAGCTGTATCGTCAGCAAATAAGCGTGCTATGTTTGTTAACGTATCTTGGATATCATTTATATAGATTAAGAAGAGGAAAGGTCCCAAAACAGAACCCTGCGGAATTCCTGACATTAGAGTTGTTTCATGTGATGTAAAATCTCTGAAGGTTACCGCCTGTTTCCTGTTACTGATGTAGCTTGATAGCCACTTAAGACATTGGTCGTCAACACCGTAGTTGTTTAGTTTATGTATCAGGCCTCTGTGATATACTCGATCAAAGGCTTTTGAAATGTCAAAGAAAACGTAGCAGGACAATCCGTGGTCCTCAAACGCAGTGACGACATCGTGATATATTTCAAGAAGTTGACGAACCGTTGAGTGTTGTGGTCTGAATCCAGTTTGCAAGCCATATTTTCGAACGTGGATTAGTCCAAAACAGAGATTTAATCCTCGATTTTTTTACCAGTCATATTCTGAAAAGCTGATTAAATTTTAAACTAAGATTACTATAAACTCTGATTAGCATAATCATTGAGTTAATCGTTGTTTGAGAATACCATAAAGGCCAGTATTCTCAAACAGTGACTTGATCTAATCTGAGGTTAAATCATTGATTATAAAGCAAATGATATTATCAAACGTTGTCTAAAAAATAAACAGTGATTAACGTAAACTTTGATTAATCTAATCACTGAACAAATCAGCTTTTGAGAATACAGCAAAAGTTTGTATTCTCGAACAATGATTTGCCTTTAATCTGTGTCTAAGTAATGTCAAAATTAAGTCAACTCAGGGGGGTAGTTTAAAAGGCTGATTAAATTCAAAAGTACTAAAATAAATTTAAATATTTGGGTTTAATGTGCCACGTTTCTGCGTTAACTGGGATAGTGAACATGGCCTTACACCATGCAGAGGGACAGCGATAAAGATGGGGTTTAACATCCACTCCACACAAAATAGGTCAATTGGGACTAGCATATGCTTCATAATTATCATCATCTTCATCATTATCATCTTCAGCGTCATCTATTGGGTCAGGTTCATTAAGAGCAACAGCAATATTATGTAAGACAGCTGCAGCAATTGTATGTTTGCAATTTTGTATTAATACCTAACCGTAAAACTGTGAACCGCCTTTTCTATATTCCAAATGTCCTTTCAACTATACCTCTGGTCTTAATATGGCTTTTATTATAACGCCTTTCAGCTCTGATTATAGGATTACCCAAAGGAGTCATGAGATAAGGCAAGCATGCATACCCTTGATCGCCAACTAATGCGCCAGATAATGCATTATTTTCAAATTGTGTTTTCAGATTACTTTCGTTAAAAATTCGGCTGTCATGGGCGCTACAAGGCCATCTAGCAACAATATTCAATATTTTTCCCTTTGAATCACACACTACTTGAGTATTTATAGAGAAAATTTTTTTACGATTGATAAATCTACCTGCATCTTCTCCCCCTGGATTGCAGATTTTAATATGTGTACCATCTATGGCCCCAATCACATTCGGGAATTGATCTATGTCATAAAAGTCAGATTTTAACTTCATTAAGTCGATGGGAAATTGGATATAGCCTGGCTTTAGTTCAGCTAGAGCTATTGATACGCGTTTTATGACTTTACTTACTGAAGGTTGAGATACATGGCACAAATCACCGACTGTTAATTGAAAAGACCCAGTTGCAAAGTACCTTAAAGTTATAAATAATTGCAGGGATGGAATTGCATTACTACGTTTTGTTTGATGCCTAATTTTTTCACATACAAGATCATGTAAGAAGTTAAAGGAAGGTTTTGTAAATCGAAAGCACTTTCGGAATTCCTCATTATCATAAAGGTCAAAGGGATTTCCCCTGTCTCTAAAAACACGCTCCCTACGCATTGCTCTTCTTAAATAATTTACTCGATTAACTTGAATAACTGCTTGGTATGCCATACTTTTAAATAAAAAGAACTTATAACAGTCTTGAAAAGTATAATTACACGAATAAGGCTTAAAAGTTAAAGGAAATTACCTACATGAACATACTTAAGTCAATAATATCAAACATAAATTATGAACTATGAGTGTATAACATTGAAAAACATGAATTTGGTTTTGATTTAAGAAATATTTCCAAATTATATTCTAAAAATAATTATTAGGTGCTGGCTTCAAACATTATAAAAAATATGGTGTCAATCAAATTACCATGATTTCTCAAACTTATTACAGTTTCTAACATTAAACAATAAATAATACTTCTGGTAAAGGATATTAAATCATTCTTCTAATTGAACTTCAGTGAAATATAAAACCGAAATGGTCTGTAAACGTAAAAATATATTTTAATAAAACAACTTAACTCTGTTTTCATTAATTAGATTAACTTGGCTATTATGACATATGATGTTTCTTGCTAGAAGTGTAACAAGCGGTTGTCATACTAGATATGCTTTGCATGAGATGGTCAGGGGCTAAAATACAACGACTGTTCATACATGTACAATCAGGGGCCATAATCTTGATTGTTACAGCACCACATGTGTTAATATAGAAGCAAAAACTGGATCAAAATTGGATAAAAACTGATTTCGAGAGGGTCAACAACCTTGGTACTACATGCTTATATTATTTGCATAAAGGAGGATGGCCATTTTGTCAGTATCAGTCCAATTTTCATGAAATACAAATTCAAATAAGATTACGACCTCTAGAAGGCCAACAAGCTAACAATGAAGGGAAAAGTACCAAGATTTGTGGGTTATAAACATACATAGTCAGTTTCATCACAATGGGCTAGATGGGCTTGATCTTCTGATTTTCTAGCAGTTGCTTCTTAAGATCAAGAATTTGCATTTTAACTGTGTGTTCTTCTTTTAAAAGCTGTAATTTGCAGTTATGCTCTGTTTTGGATAATTCATATATACTGCTTTCAAATTCACTCACTATTGGTGAAACTGAGGTTTTCACTCTTTTTTGAGCAGGTTCAGGTTTTCGCCTGAAAAATATAGTATATTTTACCAAATTAAATCTTGATTCTTTATTTAAAAAATTATGAACAGACACATTTTGAAAGAGATGGACAGAGAACAAGCCACAAATAAAGCGATTTATTCCGAGACAGATGGAGATGGGCTAACATCCACTCGACACAAACCATGTCATTTTGGGGACCAACACATGCTTCTATTTTATTTCAATAATTCGTTTGCGCGTAAGGGTCTTTAGCAGTGGGAGGAAACTGGAGAACCTGGAGAAAAATCACGAGGTTGGACACTCCTTGCCACATACTACCAGGGAATCAAAACCACGCCAGTTTACTCAATGACAGATCTTATGATACAGCGCACACGCTAACCATTCGGCCATTCAACCCCCTACCGCCCCTCTCCCGTGATTTATCGTACAATCAGGAGCTATAATCCAGGTGGTTAGGGTTCGATACACACAGATATCGAAAGGAACACAAATTTTGGGTTATAAACATATATTAAGTTTTATCAAATTCAGATTAAATTTTTTAGATTATAACCTCAAGAGGGTCCACAACCTTTGCATTTGTATTACAAATACATTTCCAATATTTGCATAAGGGGAGCGGCCATTTTGTTGGGCAGTTTTGGTCAGATTTTCATGAAATTCGAACCCAACTGTCAGGATTGTTACTTACCTTAAAACTGGGGTTTCATTTTCTAATTCTTTAACTTTGTCAACCTCGACTGTATCACCAATATCATTAGGTCTAATATCATCTTCGTTTAATTCTATATGTTCATGAACATCCTCAGTCAATTCTGAAAATGAATAATTCATGCTTGAAAACGGGACTCTGAACTTGAATGCTGTGAAAGCTAGTACAAGCCTGTCTAACCTTGTGGGTGCTCTGCGATTTCCTCTCACTGCTAAAGAATCCAAACACACAAACCTTATTGAAATAAAATTGCCCCGCAACATAGGCGTATGGGCCCCTTTTTGGGGGGGGGGGGCTGTTTCATTTTTTTTTCCGAAAAATTTATTGCATCAGCGCCTGAAAAATGAACCTAAATACCATCAGCAAAAAATACCTGCTGTAAAATCTTTACAAATAACAGCAAGTAGCACCTTGAAATTGAAAACTGCACACCCTGAATCAAAATCAGAATAATTGTGTGTTTTTCTGGGAAATGCATCACAGCACCCAACCAACTCCCGGATTACAGACATGAAATGGGGTTTTAACGTTCTACTGTTTTGCTCCGAACTGGGATAATGAAGATGGGCATACGTCATACAGTGTGCTATGAGGGAAATTTTCCCGGATAGGGGCACTACGGCCTGCTCTTATATCGAATTCTCCAACTGTCAAGGGATCTCTTACATGCACGCCAATGTGTACACAGGTCCTGCATCAATGACAAGGGGGAAGCACGCCAATGCGGATTAAAGACACTTCATTTTGCCAAACCCAAGGTGGGGGGGGGGGGCATTGGGTTGATGCTCGTAGGCCTTGTGACTTGTAAGCCTCATATCCAAAAAGTGTGTTTCTAGTGGGCCTCTCTGCCAGCTTGCTGCATGTAAAAATAATATCTTTGTGCCTTCTATATTATTCAGAAATAATACCTGAGTTGAGACTGGATTTTCGTCTTCAGCCATCTCTGCAGCATCGTCGTCATATGGATTAACAAACTGGCCAAATTCCTTTGGGATCATCTCAACAATTTTCTGTGTAACCTCCGATAGGGGTGGGGGTCCTCCTCCAGTTTTCTTCTTTTCCTTTAAATGGTGCGAATATTCTTTCTTCGCATTTGGGCGGCTAATTCAATTGTTTGTGGTAGAAGACTGGTGGAGGAGAGGTTTTCGTATGGTGTGTTTGGCTTTTTGGTTTGGGTAACATGGCCCATATAGAAAGATGACAATTGTTGATTGGGAAACTGCAACTATTTATTTTCATCATCATTCATGAACTAAACCAATATAACTTAATTAACCATTCGAAATCTGTAATATATAATATATATCCTTTTAAGTAATAATATCGTTCAAATTAAACTACATAAAGTAAATAAAGCTTAAGTAATTAAACGTCGATATATAAGCTGTAGCGCTTGTACACAAATTATGTGTGGCTGTGTTAACTGCCTGCTAACTTCAACCAGGAAAACTTTACAAACGGGTCTTATACATAAACAGAACTAATTTGGCACATATATTACACGCTTAATAAGCTAAACAGAGTATTTAAATGTAAATCAACTTACTTGTGCCTCTTACTACAAAATTAGCCATTATTAATAGGATAAATAAATCTTCGAATTAAATTGCGCCTTGACGTAACATAATTTTCTTACTTTCGGTAAAGTTAGCCAACCGTTTGTGGAGCAGCCACTAGTACGCGTAATCAAGTTGGTCTTAACTATACTAGTGACAACAGCAAATAAATTTATCGTCTGCTAGAACTTAAAGTAAACAAATAAAGTGTTTTAAACAAAAATCGTTCTGTCAACAGAACACTCTCCCGCCGCAATAAGAAATACCATGCAACTGGCTATAAATGGTGCGAATACAATAATTGCCTTAATTATAAGAAAAAATATCCTTGCACAGGGTAGATAGCTCAATCCTAATATTTTGCACAGGGTAGATAACTCAGTCCTCGTATCCTTGCACAGGATAGATCACAACTATTTTCGTGATTGGACGTTCATATTCGCCTGCAACAGTTTTTATTTTAACGTTCCTTATTTTACCATCTGTTCCAGGGAATATATCGGTTATGATCCCTTTTGTCCATTTTCCACGAATCGGATTGGAATCTTTTAACAGTACGTAATCACCAATGCAAACACTTCTATTGTCAGTGTGCCACTTTTTCCGGGGTAAAAGTGTCGGAAACACATCTCGATACCAACGTTGCTACCAGTTTTCCACAATTTTTTGACAAAACTCCTTGTGGAATGCTACTTGAAGCGCGACCTAAAAGTAAATCGTTTGGCGATAAATAATGTCCGTCGTCGGGATCATTTGGAATTCTTCCTATCGGCCTGTCATTAATTAAATTAGCTATTTCAAAGAACACAGTTTGGAGCTCTAGAGGTGACACAGTTTGCTCCCCTATAGCACGTTTAATAGCCAATTTTGTTGTTTTTATCATGCTTTCAGCACATCCGTTTTGGTGAGCGGCAGTTGGTGTGAAAAAGTTCCAATTGGTTTGACGCGAATGACAAAGGTCCTTTAATTGGGTTTGATCCCAGCCTTTTAAAGCTTTTTGGAGATCAGCATCAGTTCGACTAGCTGCGAACCGCGATCGGAAAATAAAGTATGGACTTGGCCTCGTAAACTGAAAAAACGTCGTAAAACTTGAAGAAACTCCATAGTTGAATAGTCCTTTGAAATGTCAATATGTACTGCTCTTACATTTAAACAAGTAAACAGCACTCCATAAGCTTTGTCTGTAGTTTTCCTCCCTACAGTGACCTTAAAGGGTCCAAATAAATCCACTGCTGTATAGTACCATGGTGGTGTATGTGGTTTAAGACGAACAGAAGGAAGCTCTGCCATTATTTGTGTTTCTGTTTGGGCATTCCATTCGCGACAAAATACACACTGAAATTTTACTTTTTTAGCTAATTTCGTTACCGCAATAATCCAATATTTTCTACGAACTTTCGCTGCACAAGCCGCTACCCCAGGATGTCCACAATTTTGATGAACGTGACGGACAATCAGTTCAGATAGCCATGAGGATTTTGTCAGAATTGGTGGGCGATAATTCTCATACGAAACTAGATTGTTAGTACGGCCTTTCACTACATAAATACCATTTGCATCAAGCACTGGATTAAGAGATTTTAATGTTCCCTTTTTTATTGATGGTATTATTGATTTTTGAGCATCGATTATTAACTTTTTCTCCGCATTTTTAAGTTCTTTGACTGTTATATCACCAGAAATTTTTGGTGTGTTTTGCAGAGACGATTTAAAGTTGTAGATTACTCTGTCTCTTATAGCTGTAACCGATATAGCTCGTCGATATGAAGAAAATCTTTGTATGTAGATCTCGTGATATGGCGTGTTATTTATTGCGACTGCGGCTAATGATTTCTTGACCTTTTCTGTAGAAATAATAGCCTTTTCTTCTGTGTCGGGGTCGCTAGTGTCTTCAGGCCAACTTATCTCAGGTGTGGTAAGGAAATCTGAACCAAGGGTCCACCTTCCTCCAAGTTGACTTATATGTAGACCGCGCGAAACATCATCTGCAACATTGAGTTCGCTCGGGACAAATCGAAATTCAGCAGATTCGGTTTTTATTTGAATTTCCCCGACACGAACAGACACATATGGCTTGAAATTACGAGAGTCAGATTTAATCCAAGCTAATGCAGATCCTTGAATCAGAAAATATAACAGTTTTCTCGACTTTGATTCTGCATTCGGTTATAATTGTGTTGTTTAAGCGAGCTGCTACAATTAGACTGTTTAGTTCCAGTCTTGGAATACCAATATTTCTTAAAGGGGCAACCCTAGATTTGCCATCACGAAACCAACTGCAAACGAACCAGATTTTAATGTCCAGCGGAAGTAAGCTACGGCTCCATAAGCCTGTGAACTGGCATCAGAAAAAATTACAAGTGTTGGTGATCCTATTGCATTTTCTGGGGTCAAACAACGTTCAAAATTGACAGTGTCTATCTCCTTTAATTCTTGGAACCAAAGAAACCAAAAGTCCTTAATAGATTGTGGAAGGTCTTCATCCCAAGTATATTTAGCACTCCACAATTCTTGCATGCCAATTTTTCCCCGAATTACAAAGGGTGCTGTGTAGCCAATCATGTCAAATATGCCTGCGCATACGCTAAATGCCATACGTTTGCTTAGGAATACAGGCATCGTCCAATCAGTGTCATATTTTCCTTTAAACATCTTAGGAACTTTTGAACAAATTTTAAGCTTGTCGAGCTGTAGGTCCCATGATATGCCTAATACCTTCTCGTCTTTGGGTCCCAGCAATTTGAAATTTGTTGTTGAGTTTTGATTGGTTCCTATGTCTTTATTTGACACCCATTGCTTAACAGAAAAGTGCCCTGTGGATAAAATCAAGTCGGTTTCCTGTATTCTTTGTTGAGCTTGTGTTAAGCTTTCATAACTGTTGCATAAATCATCCATGTAACGACAGGTTAAAATATCTAAAGCAGCTTCGGGGTAGGTATTTAAATATTCTTCGGCTGTTAGGTTGACTGCTGTATTTGCAATTGCTGGAGAACATTTGTCACCAAAAATTAAAACTTGCATAGCATAAATGTTTGGTGACCTGTTTTCCATATTTCGCCAAAGAAACCTGTGGGTATTTGCATCTACTTTTGGGTCGAAAAGAACTTGTTGAAACATTTAGACAAATCTCCAACTACACCTACTTGCTTTTCTCTGAATCTAATAATGACACCCAATAAAGAGTTCAAGAGATCTGGTCCTTTATATTGAAAGTCATTTAGTGTATGCCCTTTAAATGGTAAAGCACTATTAAACACTAAACGACATGGAGTAGATACTTTGTCTGGCCGCAAAACTGCATGGTGAGTCAGATAAAATACTGGACCGTTGTATTGAGATATGTCTTGTTTCTCCAGCTTCTTTGCACATTTTCTCTTCTCTAGATCAATGATTTGCTCGCCATATAATTTTGCCAATTCTGGTGTTTTAGCTAGGCGTTTCTCTACAGATTCCAACCTTGATAAAGCTTGATTGTAATTGTTACCAAGATTAGAAGGATCTTTACACCAAGGAATGGGAATTCGCCATTGACCATTAATCTTTGTAGCGGATTTTCGAATAATGTTTTCTTCGTGTCGCTCTGTAGAACCTAACAGTTTTTGACCTGGTCGCCTTTCCATACAACAACTATTTATATCTATTCCCATCTCTTCTGCTCGAATAAAATTGTCTATAGATATGGGAAAAATGTTCTCGACTTCTGAACATAAATTTTCTGTGTAAGACTTCTCGTTGCTGTAGCTGTCAGAAATGTTGGTTGCTCCAAATATTATTGGGCCTATAATTGAATGTATCACAGCCACATCTTTATCAACCTCAAGCTCTCCAGTATGAAACTTGATGTGATCTATTCCAATCAACAAATCTGGTGAACCTGATCTACGTTGAATCCTTTGTAAGTCAACGTGAAATCGTTTTGAGAAGTATTCTAAGTCGATTTGTTCTATGTCACTACAAATCTCAGGGATACATGTACCAATAGCTTTAACTTTATAATATGGTCCACCATTTAGGTTTTGCACATAGAGAGTATACATTTTGGTTTGGTAAGTCTCTTGTACGTTGCCTATTTTACCGAGTGTTACCATTATGTCTGATCCCTTTAATTCTAGGTCTGAAGCAGTTAAATTCTTAATAAGGGATAACGCTGCACATCCGTCTACCATTATTAAAGAATCTACCTTGGTAATTGTTTGGCATTGATTTGACAATTCAGCTGTGGTGACTGGTAAAATTCCACTGTCTGCTACAGCTCCTGCCTCTATACCTCTCATTTGTATTATTTCAAATGGAGCACCATGTAGAGTTGGATGATGATAATACTTGCAAGCTTGCCCATCTGTGGTTTGGTCACAAGGTTTCCTTTGTCTGCAACGGCCGAAATGTTTATTTATACAAAATATGCTTGCTTTGGCATCTTTAATTTTTTGCAGTCTTTCTGTTGGATTTAGGTTTAAAAATTTAGGGCAAACAGGTGGTTTATGTTCACCTTTGCATATCCAACACGAAGGCTTCTTGTTTTGTACATTACTAGGTGTTGTAGAGGGTGTTGTAGAGGGTGTTGGTGGATGAAGATTGGAAACAGTGGTTGCGGTTTTCTCGATCTCTACTGTTTCAACACCAACACTGCCCTTTAACAAACTTCGTATTTCGGCTCCTGCCAGTCTTTGAACAATAATTTCTTCATTTATGAACTGTAAAAAGTTGTCTATGTTGGCTGGTATGTTTCCTTCTATTTGCTTTCTTGCCCATTTTAATCTATCAGTTCTAGACAGTTTACTTTCAATGGTTGCCAGTGTAGTCGAATTGTCCAGGTCGGAAGCACGGCCAATTTGTTTCATAATATTCCTGGACCTGTTAATTTCGTGGTATAAATGTGTTAGTCTGGCTAGGTCATTTTCCGGTAGGGGTTTAATTTTGCTCATTTTCTTTAATACTGTATCCGACACGACTCTTGAATCACCATAAATAGTGTCCATTGTTACCCATGCTTCGTTAAG